TTTTATAAAAATTAAAAAATATTATTTTAAATAGTGGAATCCGAATAAGTATGCTAAAAGTATTTTGATATTTATTCAAATTTTACAATGAAATAAAAACAAAAATTGAGTTCGAATGCATTTCGATCCGTCTAACAGACCATCATCAGCGACACGACTGAAAACATGAAAATTTGCATTACAAAATCAAACAGTAATTTCTTAGAACAAAACCTTTTTGAATCATTCAAATTATATAACAAACGTAAGACAGAGAGAGAAAAATTATATATACACGTAATGAAACGAAAGAAGCAATGTCTGTGGACAGAGTTAGATGTTTACATTTACAAGCAAAGACCAAACAAGACCGAATCAATGTTCCCGTTATCAGCATTAAGAGCATTGCTGTCTCTCTGTATGTATAGACTCTCGTACGCATCAAGTTTTCTGTCATCATTCACACACTTAAGCAAACGAACATTTTCTGTAGTTGTGTTGTAATGCCCTTCGCTGATTACGTGATTAGCATACGCTGACTTTCTCGGTTCATTATTGCGAATGTATGTGTCGTGGTTCATTAGTTTTAGTTTTAGTTTGTTCAACCGATTTTTCTGAAAAGAAAATCATGAACACGTATGATTCAAATATGGTTGATGGTTTTCTAATTTAGTTTTTGAACACATTGGTTTCAACAAAGTTCAAAACCAAAACAATATAAATCGCATGAATGAAAACTGTGACTTCAGCTGAGTTGAATTTTCATTCATTTCTACTTTGCCGATGTTTTGGTTTGAGAAATGTTTCCGATGATATCTTAAAAAATCATAACGATGACACCAGTGGTGTCACCATAGATTCTGACGTCCTGAGTTTTAGGGGGAGGGGGGTAATTTCAAAACAAAATTCGAAAAATCTGGGGGGGTGATTTCAAAAAATTTCGTAAAATCTGGGGGGTAATTTCAAAATTGTCGAAAAATCTAATCTCTAAGAAATAACAGAGAAATAGCACTTTAGCTTAAGTGTTTATATTCAAATTGAATAATACAATACATAAAAGTTGATATGTAACATTCGATTCGATTTGAAAGTTACTGATTTGACAATTAATCAAGCAAAAATATGATCAAAAATCAAGGGGGTGATTGGTAATTTTGTAAAAATCAAGGGGGTAATTGGTAATTTTTTAAAAAATCAATGGGGGTCATTTTTTAGCCGCTTTTCAGGTAATATGGGCCCTATGGACCCACGTCAGAATCTATGGGTGTCACACCACATGCTATTTTAGTAAAACGAAAGTTCAGTTTTTGTAAAGAAAATCGCCGATAGTCATTTCATTTTTAATGCTAAAAGGACCACTAGTTTTTTTGAAATACAGAATTTTTCAAAAAATCACAATCAAGAAACAAAATTGACATGTAACCAAAGAATTTATACCAAAATACAATGAGATTATACAAATTTCAATTCTGATATTGAACTGATAAAAAGTTCAATAGGATATTCCAAATAAATTTGTCGAATTTGTTCCTAATGTACATAAAGTTAGTCAAACCCGGTAATATAATAATAATAATAATAATAATATTTATTCACCGCCAAAACTGGCTGAATCATGTTTGAGTGTGTACATAGCTTTTTATACATGTATGGTGGGAAAAAGGTTTGAATCACATCTGATCACCGTTAAAAACCACATCTTTTCAAAATTTAATAATTAAATATCATTTCCAAATTGAATTTGGAGAGAGTTTGATAAATATATAAATAAATAAATAAATAGTTAAATAGTTGATATTTATATTGCACTGAGTACAATGAGTCAAAAAAAATATGTAAAATATCACATTAAATCGTTTACGAAAACAGTATTATGATTCGACACTAATGACAAGTTAGAAAAGTGATTACCAATATTGATTGGTTCAAATTAAATAATTTAATATACATTCAAAAAGGGTTCAAGTCTAATCCCGACTATTTGAAAAATCCTCAGGTAAAATATTAAAACAAAACTTGAAACAATTTTTTCGAATTCATTTTTTTAATTGTCGTCGATTTCATGGAGTAAAACATATAGAAACAATATATACAGACAAGCCGAATATTGCGTTAAACATATATTTTGCTACATGCTACGACAACGCCATCTCTGTTTCCCCATGTGTGTAGAGTATGTTCAATATTGACGTATCATTCAAACGTGTCAATTTTGTACCGCAAAAATAGCTGTCATCGTGAAAATATGTCAACAATATTATTCATTGAAATTTTTGAAATTGACTGTGCCGTGTTTATTTTTTAAAACAATTTTCAAATGCATATTTCTGTAAATCTCATTTCAACGTTTTGAAATATTTGTACAATTCTACATGAATAATATTTTAAATTTTTTAAACTGGGCCGGTATTCTAGAACAATCCACAAAAATCGTTCGGAATCATTTGTTTATATAAACAACTCAGCTCAGTGAAAACAATAAAAGTTATTGTTATAATTATATTAACACTCACATTACTACAATCACTATAACAACCACTTCTATTGTTTTCAGTCCGATTCAGCGCCTGACCGTAGCTAATATTTTGAGTGTGTAACAATTTTTTTAATATTTTCAATGTTTGGCGACAAATGTAGAGCTCTATTAAAGTTATATTTTGGTACTTTTGGTGTCCATATTTGACGCCAAACGTTGAAAAGACAAAAAAATATTAGTTTCAAATGAATAAATATATTGTCGGAATAATTCCACTGTTGAAAGAGGTTTCGGAATAATTCCGAACAAAATAAGTGGAATATTGTTTATTTTTTTTTGTCTTATGAATAACGACTATTATTCTCGTTATGTGCTACAATATTATTCAAAACATTATTCATTCATAGAAATATGTTTTTCGGAATAATTCCGAACAAATTGATCGGAAAGTGGCATTAGAATACCGGCCCTGAAATGAAATTTTCAGCATAGAAACAGCTTCTGCTGCAAGACCAAAGATGTCGTTTTCGGGGGAGATTCGTGTGACGTTTTCATATAAAACATATAGCGCATTACTCGGTTAATACAGACTATCATCACACTTTATAACAGAGGAACGAAACATGCTGTGTATGAAAATACTTATACATGTGCGCATACTCAGCTTCGTTTCTGTGATGACCACTTTAAGCATACATGTGATGCTTGTGTATGTATTGTTCCTTTAATCTCTACAGTGTACTGTCAATTTCGCTCCTTCAAATCGATGGCAATTAATAGTAAAATGAATTTTGTTTCAACAAATGATTTTAAAAATGGTTTCCAAAAAATGTGGGATTAAAATATTTGGTGGTTCAATAAGTCTTTGGCCTGACAACCAGGTCGTGTCACTAATAAAAAATCTCTTTATTTTTTAAAAGTACCATCTGTCTCTAGACTACTGGAAAAATTTCAGACGAGTCCGTTCACGGACCTATAATTTACAGCGCTTGAAAGAGACCAACCTCTAGTTTTTATCGAAAAATGGAAAAAAAAAGAATTCGATTTTTTAAATCAACAACAATTTTTGTAAGACAAATCTATCAGCAAAGCTTAAACTAAGCTTGGTGATATTGTTCAGACTCTCTTCTATCTACTGGAGCTAGTAAGAAGTTCTATATTACTTTTGCATGTGGTAATACAGGCAACGGAAAACAACTACCCCAAAAATGTCTCTTTTTGAAGAAATGATTAAAAAAATCCAAGATCTTGCTTTGAGGGTCTGCAATATCCTAGTGAATAATCCAGAATAGATCCGAAGCATCACGTGGAACAGAACATTTCGATATATCAGTCCAACATTTGTGCATGCGGGAGGCTGCCGCATTTGTTCACAATGGTTTTGAATGGTAGTTTTATTGCGATGTTTTAAGCATTCTATGCACAAATAATGTAAATATTTTTGTTGATAATTAATTAGCAGTATCCTACAGAACCTATTCAATCCATTTTGGGATAAGGTATAGTCTACACGGTCATCAAAAACCGATATGTCCGCAAAAAGCCATATAATCCCTTTTTTTGTTCGAGCTCGCGTTTTGTGGGACCGTGTCTTTGAAAATATTGTTTTATCAACTGAAATAAGTTGGAACGATGCCAAATGATTAATTTGTGTCATTTTTAAATTTTTTGAATCAAAAGATTACTGTCTTGAGAGACAAAAAATATATTTCAAAATTTTCACAACCTGGTGTCTCTCAAAGCCAAACAGGTGATATTAATTTTCTATGACTTTGATAACGAATCACTTTGTTATTTCCGATGTGGCTTGGTGGGACCTCTATCTATGCTCTGAGTGGAATAATAGTGCAATATAATTCCTTCCCTTCCGAATAAAGTAATAAAATATTGAAATAAGGTGTATTTTGAGGTTGGTCTCTTTCAAGCGCTGTAACTCATACGTCCGTGAACGGACTCGTCTGAAGTTTTTCCAGTAGTCTGGAGACAGATGGTACTTGTCAAAAATAAAGAGATATTTTATTCGTGACACGACCTGGTTGTCAGGCCAAAGACTTATTGAACCACCAAAATGAATTCTTTTATTTTATTTTAAATTAAAGTGAAAATTTTGTCTCAGAAATAGCTACTGGTGTGTAACCAAAGATGGCGTTTTCGGTTTAGATGCCACTGACGTTTACATATAAATATGTCAACGCAATCCCCGGTTAAGTTAGTCATTGAAGTTGAAATTTTGAATGTTCAATGAATTGAAGTCGTTGCATAAACGATGAATAACTTAAATGTCTCTTACATTAGTTTCCATCCAAAATGCAGCACCACAAAAGGTATACGTGTTGCAAAACGGTGTGTTTCATTAGATAAAGATAGTTTGTAGTCTAAAAATGCAATGCGATTGCTTAAAATTGCATGCATGCATATGTGATGTCGACACCAGTCTACTTGCTAACAATATTGTATATTTATATTAATTATTATAATGTCTCGCCCACCCCGTTTGGACAAGACAATGAAGCATACAAACTAAATTGCGTGTCCGATATAAAATCAAAATCGTGAAATTTAAAGCGATTAAGTTACCGGTTCATATTGTGTATTATGTTTGAAAATGCAGGGGTCATTATTGTAATTTGATGTTATTGTTGTTGGTTGCGTTGCGATACACAATAGCCGGGCCACATATATTGTTGTCGGTCAGCAATATTTGAATAGTATATTTTATTTGATTTGGCAAATATTAGGTTCGTGATCAATTGTGTGAGGCTTTAACGCGCGCGTTTCGAAAAAAGGAAATCGATCCGAAATGATGAACGAATCACGAATGAAAACGAACAGACAAATTGTAGAAGGCGAATTGCCTTCACTTTTGAACAAGGATTAAAAAAGTTGTACGATTTTTGCATGGTAATACCAACGATATATTTGAAAGATATAGTTCGTGCAGAAAATTTCTTCCTCCATTTCACATGCCACATGATAGACATAAAAGACCACGTAAGGCTTATTCATTAAAACACCCTCAATTTAATAGCCGTCGGGTAACGAAAAACGGAGAAACAAAAAAAAAAAAAACGATTTGGACTCAAAGTAGCACCCACGATTCGATTTTCTCGGCTCGTCAATTGCCGATTTTCCGACTCCAATTCGATTTCGAATACGATTTCATTTGAATGGAATTTTTCCATCAAACAAACGTGATTATTATTTGAATTTTTCACAACGAACACGAACAGCAAAGAAAAAAAGGGATTGAAAGCGCGCACGTGATGTGTGAGAAGAGCAATGTAAACGAAAATCGAAATGATAGGAAAATTGCACGCGATTTTTTTCTCTTCATTTTTTGAGAAATGCTTCTAATCGCCACAATTCGATTGATTTTTTTTTTTTAAACACATTTTCGTTCCCATTCAAACACTTATTAACATATGTTAAGAAAGTCTTTGGACTAAATTCAGGCGTTTATTGCGGTACATAAACAAAAATAAAAATGCCAACCAATGCACATACGATACTTAACGGGACTCCTACTCTATTGTCAAACTCAAATCATTCAATTATATTTATTCGCAATGACGTACAAATTGGATTTACGAAAAAGTGTCTCAAATTTCAGTTTTTCGATCTAATTCGAACTAATGTGAGGTGGCGCTGATCAGCTGCGTTCGCATAAAAAACTTCCCAATCTCATATACGCCAACCCCGCTTGGTGTAATGCAAATGTGCTATTCGATAGCCCATGAATAAAGGTTTATACCAATAAAAAAGAATTTTATATTGTTTGTTTTTTTTCAAACGGTGGACATCTGAATTTAGTCCAAAGACTTTCTTGTTCATGTTACATATGTTCGTATCCATTATCCACTCACATTTAAATCGAATTTTTGCTCAAAATCAGCTTTTATTTTTTGTTAATCAAACTTTTTCGTTTAAATCAAGTGAAAGTTATAATATTCTATTTATTGAATGAAAATTCATTTTTTTTTTCACTTTAAAAATAAATATTTTCTATTTCAAATTGAATTAAGGTATCGACTGTTGCTCAGCACAGATCAGAACGTCAACATTCAGCAGTAGCTGCGGCGGCTGCCGAACGTACACTTCGTGTCATTGATCGCATTGGACAATCGGTAAATTTGGCTGTGGAACGTTTTGTTACTGTCGGCGAGACCATAGCCGACGATAGTGACCAAATTAAAAAAGATATGTTCGATGCATGCAAAGATGCTCGACAAGCTGGTATGTTATTCGGAGTTTTTTTTTTAGTGAATTGTAGTTTTTGAATAATTCAATGTAAACATTTTTATATCTCTTTTAATAGCACTTTCAATCGAAAGACTATGCGAAATCATTGCCAATGGCATTGAATCAGATGGCAGTTTCTGTGATCGCCGAGCGCATATGGTTCGAGCTCTGCGTGCTCTTCTCCATTCAGTCACACGAGTCTTATTAGTTGCCGATATCGTAATTGTAAAACAAATGATGCTTCCTATAGACAAGGTTTTTTTTCTTAACAATGAAATAAAATCGCTTTGCATTCGTACCTTGGTCCTATTTGATTCGAATGATTTCACGCAGTCAATTTATTTATTCATTATCTATTTGTTTATTTCAGATGCCAAAAGGACTGAGCAGACTGGAAGCAGTTGCAAACTTTACCGAATTTATTAAGGCATTCGCAGTGTGTGGTGCCGAAATGGTTGAATTGGCGCATGTGACTTGTAAGTACTTGTAAATGGTGAATATTTGGCTATAGTTTTATCCTTTTTGGATTCGAAATAAAAGAGTAAAGCTTTTATGTCTTTTGAAGAGTTTATGTCCGTACAAAATTAATAATTAAAAAAATTGAAAACACCAAAGGTAATCGCCAAAACGATCCAGAAGATGAGCGAAGACGAAGTCAAATGATGGGCGCAAGAGAGGTGTTGGAACGATCATCGGTTGTGTTGTTGACGTCATCGAAAATGACATTACGTCATCCGGAATGTATACATGCAAAAGAGAATCTTGAGACAGTGTTTTGTCAAATGCGTCGCGCCATGGATTTAATTCATTTTGTAATTAAAGATAGCATATTGGCGGCAAAGCAAAGTGATCGTAACCGAATAAAGGACTGGGATACAGATAAAGGGACAGCATCGAGTTGTTTACGAGTGTTTGCCCGTTTAATGGAAAGTTCACGACCTAGATTTAGTGCATCGGGTACATCGATTTTAAGCACATCAAAGCCTACACTAAAGGACATATCATCGACAGGTAACTAATTTGAATGAGAGAAAATGTTTAACAAATGGATTTTGATTGAAATGAATTTGTTTAGGTCGTGCAATCGACACAACGCAAGAAGGACGTGAGTTAATGCGAAGTAACAGTGAACGAGATCGTCACATGACAAATCATCATCACCATGTATCATCTTCATCGACATCATCGTCAACGCATCGAAAATCATATCGGGATCCATACGAATACCACAACAATAGCAGCAGCAATGGTATTAAAACAGCGAATGTCACATTGCCCGATGCCGATTGTGAGATGTCTGGCTATCGAATGGTGCCACAACAATCGAGATCAATCGGTTTTTATACAGGAATTTCGATAATATCTCCGCAAATTCGTGAAGAAATGGTCTATGCACTCAACAAGTGTGTGGAAAAAACGCAAGATTTCACCGATTCAGCATACACAACGAACGAACATCGTGAAACAATATTGCTGTTGTGCGATCGCATGCGTTTAGAATTGAATCAATGTCATCGTGTGGCTGTGAACATGGAACAATTTCCAAATTCACGTTTTGATATCGATGCAGCTATTGATAGTGTATTAAGCGCTGCCCAAGATCTATCATCATCGCTGTCAATGGCTGTGGCTGATCAAATACCCGAACTCCATCACATTCTTAAAATAGGCATCGAATTGGTTAATTCACTCAGGAATATCGCCTTAAATCAAGAACTTGATCGACTGCAAGAGTGCGCAGATCGTTTTCACGACTATTATGACCACATTTTGGAAGTGAGTAATGGTTCTCTTTTTTTTTGTGTTTTGACCACTTAAATGCATACTTTTTTATTTGATTCGATTGAATTAGGTCTGCAAACTTTTACGTCATATTGCCTTAACTGAAACACAGCAAACCCAAGCAAAATTCACTGAGGTAAATTTACGAATTTATGGACCACAAGTATTGACAGCGGCGCGTGCATTGTCCGCGCATCCAAACAGTAAAATCGCCAAAGAGAATCTCGATGTGTTTTGTGACATGTGGCAATGGTTATCGGGTGATGCAACATCGGTCTCAAAGGAATTGATTGAAACAGTGCAAGCTATTTCAAAACCAGATCGAACCGAATATTTGAGTTTACCGCGACCTGGGGTGAGTAACACACAACAATTTTATTCTCACTTCGAAACGAACAAATTAAACAAAAACCACCGCTTTCGTTTTTGACATTGTCATAAGAAGCGGCTAACCGCATGGAATATAGGGCAAATTGGGGAAGGCTAATCAATAATAATTTTCGCTAAAAACATGATTCGCTACAGCTGTCCAACTATTCTGCATATAAAAATCAAAATTTAATACAAAAATTTTGTAAACTTTTTCTTTTCCATTCGCAGAAACATGGCACAACATCAAAACCACTGAAAGCTGTACGTTTGGATCAAGAAGAGCAAGAGAAAATCGCAAAGGCTGGATTGGAAATGAAAATGTCAGCAAATGAAATGGATGCCGAAACGGACAAATGGAATATGAACGATGAAAATAATGATATTGTTAAACGAGCAAAAAATATGTCAACAATGGCCTTTTCCATGTATCAATTTACAAAAGGCGAAGGCACATTACGCACCACACAAGACCTATTCACGCAAGCCGAATATTTTGCCGAAGAAGCAAATCGATTGTACAAAGTTGTGCGAATTTTTTCATACCAAGTACCGGCAGGTGATTCGAAAAAAGAGCTTCTCGATCAATTGGACGTTGTTCCAACGTATGTGCAAACACTTCAATTTACCGTTAAAGATCCGACAGTTGGCAAAGCGGCCACATTTGTAAAAGTCGATCATGTCATTCGCGAAACAAAGAATTTAATGAATGTGATCAATAAAGTGGTGACCACTTGTTTTGATTGTGCGGCTAAGGTAAGATATTTTTTTGGATGATAGTTGTTTTACGAAGAAAAACAGAAATAAATAAAAAAAAATATCTTGAAAATGATATTATGTAGTTCAAAATTAGAGAAATTTATTTCAAGGCATAATCGTTAATTTTGATTTTCAGTATAAATTGGACTTCAGCGGATTGACGGGTCGTTCAACAACCGGACTACGAGATGATGATGGTGGTAGCGGAGTGGCAGGTGATTCAAAAGGTTCATCAACAAGTACCGAAGCGAGCATGTGACAGTACGGGATGCACCGAAGGGGTGCCAAAGGTGATGCACGTCGAACGCGTGTATCATTTCTACTATTCTAGAACAAATAAATCAAGTGGTCCATTGCGTAATCACATCTCATGCCACGTATATATCTCAATCTTATAAAAACAATGACAGAAAACAAATTACATCCAGACAATCCAAAGTCCTTGATGTTTCCCCGCAGTGGGGCATGCTTTTATCATGCATTGGAGACAATATTATTTAGTAAATAAAATGTTACGTCGCCGCAAACGATCACTAGCACACACATACACATACACACACACACACACACACACACACACACACATACTCATAATACACGGATTATCGCGATCATTTTATATATTTAAAAACACCATGTGAAGAAAACAAAAATGAAACATTCTTTAGAGGCAAGCAAAAATATATATATATATATATATATGTTTGTGATATATGAGATTAAAAATTATTTAGATGAAACAAACCTATCAAATTGTGATGCCAACAAACAACCAAACAAACAAGAATTAATTAACACGAAATAAAAATTAAAGAAACAAAAACATTATTTATTCGAACAATAATGAACGAGCATAAGAGAATATATATTCAGTTATAAAATTGGGCTCTTTAATGACAATATCTACAAATCATAATGAATGGACAAGTTGTCAACCAACAAACAAATCAACTATAAAATCGAGCATATATTTCAGAAGAAAAAAAATCCACAACAAAACCCATTAGCATTTAATTAGATGAACTTTGATGTAAATGTATAAAAGAAAAATCAAGAATCATGATGATAGTTTTTGTAAGTAGAAATCACAGTTAAGTTTAACTCTTGGGAGAAAGAACAACAAACAACAACATATATATATATATATAATGTATTCGGACCTCTTCTATATATCCTTTTCTCTTCTCCTTGACTCAATCAAATAGTTTGTAGCTAGACCAAAAAAAAACGGCTCACACAAAAATTGAAAAATACTATTTATTATATTATATAGATAAACATATAAGTGGAATGTATCAAGGGTAATTAATCTTAACACACACAAAAAAGATACATTTAATTCATTGTGAATGGACACAATATATAGTCTATATGAATGTCCAAGAATGAAAGTGAGTCTTCTCGTGAGATTTTATTGAAATGTAACACCGCCATACAAAAAATGCTGACTGTCAGCAACTTTTGTATGGCGGTGTTACATTTCAATAAACTCTCACGAGAAGACTCACATTCATTCTCGGACATTCTATGTGGGCATATTACAACAATCTGACCATTTAAAAATGTCCCCCAATTCAGATTTATTTTCATTTTCTCTCGCTCTCTTTACATCACATTTTCAACGTATTTACGTTTTTTTCTAAACAATAAATTTTTTTAATGAAATTTCTGCGATTTCATAGCATATATGCATGTGATAAAAGAAACATTACACTTATACTTGTTTTATTATCAGTGTTAAGGCGTTCAAAATTTAATACGATGTAATTTTCACCGAAAAAATCATTCCATTTTCTATAATCAGTTCATATCGAAGCAAAGCAAATCCTCCAAAAAATTACTGCAAAATGTTTCTTTTGCACAAAAAATATTTTCAGGGGTGGGAAGGGGAGGTGTAATGAAAATTTCTTCTAATTTGTAAAGGGGTAATTTCAAACTTTTCAAAAATTATGAGGGGGTAAATATAGCTTTTAGTGTAAAAATAAGGAGTTTTTTATTCCATCTGGATCATAATTTATGACCGAGGGAAGAATTGTCCTTCAAAATCCCTTGTAAATTGGACGATTTTTCAGGGAAAAGAATTTTCCCAAAAGTCCATTCTGTCTAGTGCAAACACCTTCTCGGAAAGAGTGAATTTGTAAAGGGATAATTGAAATTTCTTCTAATTTATAAAGGGGTATTGCCAAAATTTGATGCCTCAGAGGGGGGTAATTCCTCCCCTCCACCCCCTGTCTGCCCAGCTATGCTTGCATGAACTTATTTTGCAATAGTTTTCAATTTTAAGGATCAGCGAAGGCTTTTTTTGTTCAGTTACTACCAAATTGAACACATGAAAAAATGCAAAGAAATTCCGAAAAGTCGTTGTAGTCGTATTGGAAATAAGCAAAATCATAAAAAAACGATGGTTAAGAAATGTAACATTTAAAATGTAAACTGCAGTCGGTTGAAAACTGTCAGAAATGTCGATTATCACAACCTTAAGAACCACAACCTCTTTAATATTAAATTCAATTTCCGTTATGTAGACTCAGTGGTACAATGTCATAGCAATGGGTCTTATCGTTTGGTGACTTTCAATTGCTATCGTATCGTACCATCCATTATACTATCATAAAAATTGATAGCGAAAGAGAACTATTTAAAAATTAGAAAACGTACAATTCACAATGTATACGTCTGAAATACATGTTTTAAATGAGCTTCAAATGTATGAAAAATATATGAATATCAAAATTCCACACACACACACACACATACATCCAATTTTATGTAAAACTAAAAAATAGATATGTTAATATTCGTCACTGGTTACAAAACAAAATGTGTATACATTGAAATATAGTTGGAATTTTAGAAATGTAATTTTGAATAGAGTTTTGGATAAACCGCCGATTGATGAATGAATTAAAATGCAAATAGATAGAGCGAAACAACCTCATTTCATCTAAGATGGAACAAAATAAGACATATAAATTCTATATTTTCCATTTTTCCGCTCAATATAGCCGAAACTAGGCTCGATTTAAATGATGCCGATTGCATAATTGATGTATTATTTTGTTTCTTGTCTCTCTTTTCGCTTAGATGCATAAACATGCATAAAAGCAAATTTATCAATCGATTTTTCTGAATTCATTTGGCACACTTGCCTTTTTTATAGATAGAAAACCAAATATAATCTAAATGTATGAAGTCGAATACGTAATTGATGCGTGATTACTTTTGACCTACTTAATATCATCATTTTAGTTGTGTATTCCTGTTTCTTTGTTTATATGTTCCGTCAATGATATGAGAGTCACACTGAATACATATTATTTTGTGATTAATAATTTCATTTTGTGATATGAATTCGGGGGATAAAAGTACTTGTAGCCTCAATAATATCATCGAACAAATAAATCGGTCAATATCGATCTGATTTTCGAGTTGAACATTTTTCTCAACCATTTCCATCTACTTATCTACTCTAAGAATCGTTTCCCAGAACGGTGTTTTCTATTGGAATCTATCTATCCATTGAAATAAAGGAATAAATAATCAATAAGTTAAAATCCATTTTGTGATTTTAAATTGCTGTTGTAGTTTCACAATTCTCACCCTCGTCAATCAAAACGAAGAGAAAAATGCATTGCGGAGAATTTCATTGTTGTGGTATATAGTTATACGTAATTTGTGCGAGGGTTGTATAGAAAACGTGCGTGGAATTTATGTTCGCCATATTGAGAAATATTGAAAGAATAAAAATGAGGGAATTTATCATTATAATAATTAAAACCAAACGAAATCAAATCAGTTAAAAAAACTAATGCATATCATTTCAAAACATTTTCCTATTTTATTTCGCAATGAATTTTCATTTTATTTAACTCGAATGGCATTTGCCGAACACAAAAAATCTTTGAGTACTAATTTAAAAAAAAAAATGATTTATTTAATATTTCTATACAAATGTTTTGTAAGAACTTTCTTAACAAACCAAGACAAAATTGTAAAATGGAATGTGACATTTTACTGCAAAAAAAAAAAAACAAAACAAAAACAAACTGGAATGGTTATTATTTTTGAATAAATATATATTTTTGAAATGTACGAAAAAGGGTCAATATATTTATAGATTTAAATTGAATTTCGATGACAAAATTGATGTCCATGCAAAACACAAACATACATGCGAACAAGAGGCTACGAGTGGTCATTGAATTGGAGGCTCTTTTTGTTCTTCGATTTTCGTTATTTGTCATTAATTAGTTGTAAAAGTTTACTGCAAATTGTAGTCTGCAATCATATCGATATAAATGTATACATCATTATGTTAATTCTTTTCACTTCTTTTTTGCTACATCATATTGAATTGGAATTTAAGTAAATAGCAAATAATTTCAAACGCTAAATTTAACGTCTTAGATGCGTTTTTGAAAAGGAAATGACATCATAACTTTGATTTAACGAAAATAAAAATTAAATAGGATTTTATCTCTCTCTCTTTTTTTTGAATTTCCACATAAACAATGTTTTGTGCATCTCAATTGTGAAACTATTATATCATTGCTTTTAGTCAATTTGCTAGGGGGTTCCGACTTATACGAATGTTGCATTTGCAAGCGAATGTTCCATACATATTTTGCGAATGGAAGCAAATGAACATGTCAAAATGTCACATCTCGCAAACAGTATGCGATATTCGCGAATGACTTCGAATGAAATATACGAATTTTCACAGATGAATATACTTTATTTCGTATATTTTACGTATGAATAGGAAAAGTTTATATTTTGTGAATAAACTGCCATTCGCGAATAGTAAAAGCCCCTAGTCAATTTGCAAAATATCGCATCGGTTATTTGAAGAAAGAAAAACCGATAAGAAATGAATAAAGATTGAAGAATTCAAAAAGTTTTTCTTTTCACGAAGCAGAATGATGATATAATTCTCAAACATACACCAAGAATTAATGCTCCCCGAATAAGTGTTTATATTTATATTGGCATGGGACATTTGCAAAGAGAGTAAGAATTTGAAAGAAACAAAATAAAATAAAAAATAAATTGTCTTCCAATGAATGTGAATGTTCATTCATTTTTGTTTCACGCGAAATGCATTACAAAATCACTCACAACTTTCGTTTTCTGTTGTTGTTGAATAAACTCCAACTGATTATTGATTCAAACTTATTACATAGCAAATAGCAAGAATTCATCAGTGATATTCACATTCAAATTAAAAAAAAATTACGGAAACAATTTTGCCATTCAAAACTTTTCATTTGTCTGCATGAAAATCTTTTCACAATTCTATTTCCATCCAAAAATGTTGAAAGAGATTGTTGTGTGGAACCAATTTAAAAAGCAGAAATAAATAAAATAAACATTGTTAAAATTGCAAATTTTAAGAACCAGAAACGGGACAATTTAATTGAAAACAAAAAAAAATATGTATGTTAACAAAGTAATAATGAAATGAAACACATTTAACTTGTATATTTCCATATAAAATGAGAAGAAAAACACAATAACAAAACAAAACAAAACAAAAAAAAAAGAAACACATCTAGCCAGTCAGGAACCTTATGAAACCAAAAAAAAAATAAAATAAGAAAATATCTATGTTAATGTTATCATTTCGGTTGTTAGTCGTGATGGCAGTGAATTAGATAAAAATATATACATATACCTTTCGCTGTTTTGTCGAACTAAATAAACTTTATTTCATTTTTAATAATTTAATATTTACGAACAGTGGTTTTATTCGAGTATGTACTATTTCCTATGAATAATGCAGAGGTGCACGCTTTCGAAACAACGGGCCACAAACCCTTGATCAAAGTCTACCAATGACAATGGTTTTATTTTTTTGACAAAGATTTTTTTTTCTTAGATTTCGCAATCGTTGAATAGAGTATCTTCATTTCTGAAAAAAAAGAATTTGTTGTCTGTTCATCGTATGAAGAGTATACAATTAATTTTATTATTTTTCAATAGATTTTATTTCAATTCAATTTGATTTGGGATTCGGAAGGAAGTTCACTTTTCTTTTAAGCAAAATGCACTAAAACTTCATCAGACTTAGTTCATGAGAAATCTAGTGAGAAATCTTAACCATTTGATAAATACTCTTAATTGTATGGCTAAAAGCGCCGATAATAAGGAGCACGTAAACGATCCACATGATTAAAATTTATAAATTGAGTTTGGAGTCTTTTATTATTACTTGGTACCAATTTTGTCAAAATATACAATGGAGCCACTTATCTTATCAAATCTTAATTGATTCATTTCAGACATTCAGGTATTTTCCGAATTCTAATAAATATCACAACAGCTGATAACAAGTCAAAAGATGGTTTGAATCGATTACCAATTTATATAAAGTACCGAAGGGTTCTCAAATGGGATTTAAAATACCGGATTTTAAATCAAAATCACAATAATTAAATAAAATGAAAGTATAACTTCTTATTCTATTGTAAATAAATTTATGCTTTATCAGCAATTATTTGCATTTCGCAAACGTTTTCGAGCAACCGTGTGCTCATCTTCAGGTGCTACTTTTTGAAAAAACAATGTCAATTGTCTACTAATTGTAAGTTTGAAAATGCAAAAATAAAGAAAACACAATAATTCGGTTTTACAATTATAGCTCGCCATGGATATTTGATGTGATTTCATATTTGATGTCATACATGCATTAGAATCTCATTTCAAAAATATTAGCTGTTTTCAAGTCAGCTGTTAGTTCGAATAGAGTTGATTGAACCTGTTTATTTTGAATATTCATACTCTCTGCTCTTGGTGAGACATTTTTCATATGCAATAGATGGTGAATTTGAATCAAGATTCAGATTTGCGAGCTGTTAAATTGTAAGTTATATTTATCTCAATCGTGGAAAAACCAGAATAATGAAACCCATACTGACGAGTTAGATTGTCATGATGGTGGTTGTTTGAAAGTAAGTCGGGTACAAAAATATTCTAGTTTCTATTATAATGTATCTATATATCTTACCATGCAAATTTCGGTCTACTAGATGATATTGTCAATCAAAAATGAGTGTTGTTGTTGTTGTCGTTTCATTGCTCTGGGAGAAACAAAGAAATAAAATACTGAAAATAAGGTTGAAGCAAAAGTTTGGTTTACAGAATTTTTTTCTGTATTTTTGAAAAATACACTTGTAATTCGATTTTTGTTTGCAATTTTATGATTATTGATTTGACGATTGTATGTATTTGGAATTTGATTTTTAGTCGTGTTATGTTTTACTTCTTTGATTTGGGTAAATCATGATGTTTCGAATATTAAATTATTCATTGATTTGATTTGAAAAAAAATCAAATCAAAATAAAAAAGTCAAATCATTTGAATTGATGTACACTATTTAAATCAATTAAATCATTTGATTTGATTTAAAATATACACGACCATCCAAATCAAATGTTTTATTGAATTCAAGACATGGGATACTTTGCACACATTAATTTCATTCCGGATCAGGGAACCTTTGATATTCATAAATTTGGGTTCAGAAGTGAATATAGTTTTGAAAATCCGGATTTTTGAAAATTTTCAATGAAATGTTGTTCCATGGTGAAGGTATCCATTTTCGAATTTGAATGAATTTTTCTACTAGAATGTGTTATTTGGGTCTCGTTTTTTAGATTTAAGCATAAATATAAACAATACTGAAAATATAGTGTATCTTTATGCCTTACACCAAAATTCAAAAAAATTCAAAAAAATTCAAACAAATCCAAATTTTTCCCATTTTTGATACTTCGCCGTTGACCCGTGACATCTCAGTTTATATTTTTTTCGCAAAAAAACGCCTGATTCGTGATTAGGGGATCCCATAGCTAAGGTTGTTATCATCGCCGTTAAAATGTTTGAAAAATGCTACACCCTTTATATATATATAATGTTGGCCACGTCTGCCGAATAACCAGACTTCCAAAACATGCATTCGATCAAAGGCTGGCTATAAAATATATTTTAATGGAATTCCCTGCACTTTCTGTAGATAAGCTATGTATACTGTACAGATAAACAAGTGATAAAAGCAAAAAATTGTTGGAGCTTTGATATTCAAGAGTTTCTATGATGCAACATTATGAACAATTTCAGCATTTAGAAAGAACACAAACAAAGCATTTAAAAGTACAATTTTTAACATCAACGGTTAAACAACTAGAGTATTCTATTATATAAATTTAACAGTTTGAATTGAAATGGTCGATTTTCGACCACCAGTGGACTAAGTTCATTTACATCGGCATCACACATGATATTTTTTAAAAAAATGGATTCAACTTTTATCAAAATTCAAACACTGAGTGTAAACATTTTAGTTCTGGCAGATTAGCAAGGGAATAGTTTGGCAACCAATTGATAACTTCGAATAACTTTTTGCAATAATAAAATATACAACAACATATTCTTTCATAGTGAATTTCAGCATGTTTAACCCTAGAACCAGGTGTGCTGTTTACAACTTAATCCCGTGTGTACGGTAAGTCAGATTGACCCGTAGTGCATTTTGTATGGAAATCAGCCATTTTTTAAGAACTAGCTCAATTATTTCATGAATGATCAATTTTATTTCTATGATTCTGACTACATTAGTGGGTTGAAAAGTCGAACTCGCTATATATACACGTAATATACGAAATCCAGACCTAGAAGGCCTTTCGCCCCAATTGATGTATGGTTGGAAAGGCCTTGGTCCATAGATCAAGAAAAAATGTCAAAGTTCGAAAATCGGTCCACCTGTCTTCAAAATATGGTCCTTTCAAGAAAAGGGTCATAATTCAGTTCTA